CGCGTGGTCAATGTGGCCAGTGTGATGGGCCGCGTCTCCTGTTTCGGTGGCGGGTACTGCATCTCCAAGTTCGGCGTGGAGGCTTTCTCCGACAGCCTCAGGTACGGCATTGGTGGCCCCCGGTGCTTCCCTGTGCTTGTCCAGCAGCCCCTGCTCTGCCTCGCTGCCCCCACACGGGGTTTTGTGTGGCTCCCACAGACCTTGTGAAACCCTGACCAGGCCACGGGGTGGGAACACGGGCACGGCTGGAGCCGCAGTTATGCAATGAGGTGAAGGGTTTCAAAGGACTCTTGAGCGAGGACAAGGCTCCTCTGTGTTTATGACGGGGTGCCTGGTGGGGGGTCACGGGCTCCCCTCTCTCCCCCAGCCCTTACCCAGCTCGGGACAGCAGCTCTGGCTCATGTCTCCACCTCGGGCAGGCGGGAGATGCGTCCTTTCGGGGTGCAGGTCTCCATCATCGAGCCCGGCGGCTTCCAGACGGCGATGATCGACCCCGCGCCACTGGCGAAGGATTTCACGCGTCTCTGGGAGCGGCTCCCGGCAGAGGCCCGGGCAGCCTACGGCCACCGGTACCCAGACAGACGTGAGTCCGTCCCCACGCGGCACCGTCACCCCCGGTGACCCCGTCACCACCGGGCTGACCCCGCTCTGCCCCCGCAGTGTCCAAGAGCACCGTGCTCGTGCACCGCCTGAGCAGCTCCCGCCTGTCCCCCGTCACCGGCGCCATGACCCACGCGCTGCTGTCCCGCTGCCCCCGCAGCCGCTACGCCGCCGGCTGGGACGCCCGGCTCCTCTTCCTGCCGCTCAGCTACTGCCCGGCCTGGCTGGCCGACACCCTCCTGGGCCTCCTCCTGCCCACCCCGGCCCGCGGGAGCCCCTGAGGACGGTGCCCGCTCTCCCCGTGCCCCGGCGTCGTGCTCAATAAAGCTGGTGCAACGCTGGGGCTGCTCGTGGTGCCTCCGAGGTGTCCGACGGCCCCCTGGCCGCGGTGCTGGGTGACCCCTCCCGTGGCAGGACCCCGGCTCCTGCCTGTGCCTGGAGCAGCCTCATACTCAGGGATGTCCTGGGTCAGCTGGCAGGCAACGTGCTGGGAAAGGCAGGGTGTTTATCCATCCCCTGGGCGTGTGGGTGGTGATCCCTGCTCACTCATCCTGCTAATTAAGGGCAGATTAGTGATCAGTAGCTGGGGGGCAGGTCCCTGAGGTTGGGCACTTGACTGCAGCACTAGAGCAGTGCTGAGGAAGCTTCTCCAAAACGCTTTCTTCAGCTTGGCAAAGCAGCACGACATCCCCAGCAGCCCCCACACGTCACGTTCCAGGTGTCCCCAGGGCCTGGATCAGTGCAATGAGCTCCTGGGAGGTGACACTGCAGCCTCAGCTGCACCTGCCCTGGGACACCTGTGCTCACATCCCTCCGGCAACATCCTGGTCCTTCTCAATCCCCCAGTTCTGTGTGGAAATTCCCTGACCTCTTAAATAGAACCAGCGCAGCATCCCTTTCCCCTTGGGTGGGGGGCAAAGACCCCCAGCCCCTCCCTGGCAGAGCAGCTCCTCCTCACCCCAGTGGACCCAGCCAAGCCAAAATGTGCCCAGGGTGAGCACAAAGCTGCCAAGTTCCTTTTTGGAACCTGGACCCTGGGTCCTGCCAGGGCTGGTACCTGCACACGGGGTCACCAGGCTGGGCTTGTTGTTGTGAGACCCGACTTATCAGTGCCCTCGTGCTTCCCCGCTCCGGCCGTGCCTTCCTTCCGAGCCAATTGTTGATCCCAAAGTCTTGTCTGCACTCGAAAAAGGAGATTTCCTGCAATTGTTTCACAGGACTTGCAGCTCGATGCAAAATTTTCTGCCTATCAGCCCCCTCCCCAGCACCAGGGCAAGGCTCGAGCCCCCTCCCTTCCCCTGCCAGACAGCAGGGCAATCACAGCTCCATGATTAATTGCTGCCCGGCCAGAGGTGCTTCTGTGGTGACATCCATCTGCCGTTGGCTGCTGCGGCAGTGCTGCCGGGGCAGAGAGTTCAGCTTTCAGCCTTTTTTCCCCCAAATGAAACCCCGAGCTCACCTGGGTATCGTGGTGGCATCAGGGACAGCTGTTGGCACCTGTCCCACAACCCACCCTTGCAGGAGTCCCTGTGCCGGGGCAGGACCTGGCCTGGAAGAGTCCATCCCAGAGGATGCATTTTCCCTACAGCAGGATCCAGGTAGGATCCAGCCCCCGAGCCCAGCAGGGGGATTGTGGAGGGGACCCTCAGGAAGTCTCGGGGACCCCCCTGCATCCCCACATCCCCAGGCACCCACGGCTCCCACACCGACACCTGCCCGGGGCCTCCTGCCCAGTCCTGCGGCAAAATCAAAAGGGAGCCGAGCCCTGGGGCTGGAAATCCAGTCCAATGTCACCCACGCTGGGCTGGCTCAGGATGTTGGACCACGACAGTCATTTCCTGCCGGGAAGCAGCCACCAAGCCCACCCCGAGCTCTGCTCTCCAGAGGCGCGTGAGCCGCTGAGCCGAGAGGATCCCTGTGCTCCCGAGCAGCCCCTGCACAGCCCTCGCTCTGCCGCCGGTGAGCAGAGCTGTCCCTCCTCCCTCGTGTCCATCTGTCCCTTCTCCTGTCCTCCTGTGCTCCCTCCCATCCCTCTGTCCCCTCTCCCATCCCTCTGTCTCTTTTTCTGTCCACGTGTCCCCTCTCCTATTATCTCTCCCCAATCCCACAGGCCTCTCAGGACCTGCGGTGTGGAGAGGGTGGGAGGTCTGGGAGCCATGGGAAAGGCATGTCCAGCCTCTCCATGGTTTTGGGAGTGGGTGGGTGTCAGCCCATTGCCACAGGGATGCCACTCTGGTGGGGGACTCTCGGCTGTGGCACTCCTGGCTCACCGAGGTCCAAGTTCCACAGGAACACCCCGGCAGCCCAGCAGGCTCCTCCAGCTCTCCCGAGGGAATGGCTGGTCCTGAGCTCTTCTAGGTACAGGGCTGGATGGGTTCTGTGGCATCTTTGCCATGCTGATGCAGCTGTACTGGGATCAGAGCTCTCACTTGAGGCACCAAAGGATGTTGAGGTCAACTGAATTTCCCTTAACTTTATAATTTTGTCACCTACTTGGAAGTCCCGACGGCTCCCGGCAACGCAGCCACCAGACAGGCAGAGCCAGTGAGGGACCACACTCCGAGGGCTCGGGAAGGGGATGGGGCCTTTCCTGCTGGAGTGGAGTCTGGGGCACAGTCACCGGGGTGTTCAGTGGCCTGGGCACCAGCCCATGCCCCTGGCCAGGCTGTGGGACAGGGACAGCCACCAATGAGGCTGATGTCTGTGGCTGGCACTTAGTCTGACATGCGAGGGGATCACCTGGGCAGACATGGCACCTTTTGAGGGTTGATGTAGGGAGTCGCCATAGGACTAAAAATTGGGTTAAAACCCCCCAGAAGGGTCTGAGCCCCATGCAAGGACCGAGTTCTGTGTGTTCAGACTCTCCAGCTCAGTGCTCTCCCTTTCCCTGCAGCGCCAGGATGGCTGAGATGACCACGGCCCCCACTGAGACACACACTGTCCCGAGTGAGTACGGGGACTACCACAACTGGTCCGAGCTGTTCCACCTCCTGAACCACACCTACACCTACTGTGAGTTCAGCCTGGACGAGAACATCAAGCGAGTGATCCTTTTCATCCTTTACCTGGTCATCTTCGTGGTGGGCTTGGTGGAGAACCTCCTTGTCATCTGGGTCAACTGGCAGACACGGGGCAACAAGAGCTTGGTCAACCTCTACATCATCAACATGGCCATCGCTGACCTCGGGGTGATGCTCTCACTGCCCATCTGGATGCTGGAGGTGATGCTGGATTACACCTGGCTCTGGGGCAGCTTCCTCTGCCGCTTCACACACTACTTCTACTTTGCCAACATGTACGCCAGCATCTTCTTCCTCACCTGCCTGAGCGTGGATCGCTACGTGTCCCTGACCAGCTCCTCCCTCTTCTGGCGCCGGCACCAGCACCGCGCGCGCCGCGTCGCCTGCGCCTGCAGCTGGGTCCTGGCCGCCTCCATCCCCTTCCTGGAGGTCGTCCACATGCAGCTGGTGAACACCGGGGAGCCCATCTGCATCTTCATGGCCCCCTTCGAGACCTACGACGAGTGGGCGCTGGCGGTCAGC